CCCTATACATTTTTAAGTAAGATAAAAGTTAGATTAAATATTCAAAGAAAAATTAAAAAATTATTCATTGACAAATTTCTATTGAGAAATATGTTCTTAAACCTAAATTAGTTTGCTGTAGAATTTTTGAAACATTTTACGTCATCGTTATTTAATAATTTAAAAAAAATTGATTCTCAAAACGAAATCGTCAAAATTGATGATTTTGAACGTCGATTTTGCACTGAAACTCTGTAATTTTACTCAGTTCAACCACCATACATTTCCAGACACTCCCTTTTAATATAATGTTTGCAGAAGTGTGACAGAAGTTGTGAATATTGGAATAATATCACATCTGTTCATCAGGTTTCTGTTGCAGTAACTTCACCAGGTCAGGAATAAAAAACTTAAGAACATAAAAGTACAGATTAAATGTTAAGCTTCAGCTTAAATTTAACCATAACTTTCAGTTTTAGCTCGATATTTAATTCACAGAATTCGACGAGTTAGATATAGTTTTACCTGTGAAATCCTCATAGTTTCTCATGAATTTTTATCAATCAATCATGAATCATGATTCTCTGGAAAATGTTGCAGAGCTTGCATATTTTTACAACCCATATTTATAATGTAATATATGCGTCTGGGATTAGATTTATTTTAACCCTGATTTCATTATTTTACAGAAATTTTAAGCTAAAACTCACACATTCTGGAAGATGCCATGAACAAACGGCAAAATCTGTTAATTATGATTTTGTTAACAAACAGATACTTATATTTTTCACCACACTGATATACCTGTTCGTTATTTGGTTAGTTTAGGTTATTTTTAAACAATAATTCCAATTCCAGCTTAAATGAAAATTATCTTTATAGTTCAATTCACAGCAGTGGCCTTTATACATTATTTATGATATTATTATATTATTTATTCCTTTATGAAACCTTATGCATACTTTTTCCCCAGGTTATATTCCACATCAAGAAGAATTGGAATTAAAATGTTTAGATGAAGCTTGCTATATAAAATTGATAATTCATCTTTATAAGTAAGTACATTTAGTTATTTAGTCAGGTATAGTTAACAAGATATTCCTGTATGCTTGATTTTTAACAACAAATCGTAATTGATTCGTGACATACAGAGTTCCATTCATGGATGCATATTGGAACCTTTACATTTTCTGATAATTGTACAATGAGAGGTAGGATCATTTATCGTTCTATGACTTAACTTGCATTTGGTGTCACTTAACAATCTGTTTCTTTAATAAAAGTCGATGTATTGTGGGAAAATTCAACAGTTTTTAGATTTGGAAAAGATAAATTTTGATAATAATTCATGGAGAATAATAATTGTTTTTCTGTATGGGACCTTCTTAATATTATAATCTAAATCTAACAAATTTTCTTTAAATTTAAAATGTAAATTATTATTTATTATTGCATGTTCTTATCTAAATAAACCCAAAATTTAAAGGAATGGGATGGCTATTTTATTATTCCAAAGTTTAAAATTGTAAGCTTCCATTTTAATTTGGTTTTGATTCATGTCTGCCACTCCTAAAATGAAGTATAGTTGTAATATTTTTTATCTTAGGGAAAGAAAAACAAAAGTATTTATCCATGATAATCCACAATTTCCTGAACAACCCAAGTCAACAACTGCTATACCAATCCAAATATTAACAGTTCTGCCTAAAAGCAACCAAGGATCACCACCATCTACTGATAAATCACCCCTGACTAATCCCAACAATGGTCCAAAAGTTCAAGTTACAGAAATAGATGATGATAATTTTGATCCTGCAGTGACCACCATTATACTAGGCTAGATATTTTTAAACATATTTGATTTAAAAATTTAAATTTTAAAAATAATTAGATGATAGCAGCTGCAATTATTTTGACATTTCTGTCTTTCTAAAACTCCATTTTCTCCTCGTTTTTCATGCATCATCCATCATGTTTGGCCAAATTTGAAAAATAAAAGAAAAACTACTTGGCTAGATATAGACCTTATACTTTTTAAATAGAGAGAAAGCTTTCTTAGTGACAACAAAAATAACAATTAAGCTTTTTATGGAAAAGTTTTGATAAAAAAAAATTGTATAATATTTTCTTTCTAAAGGCGAGCCTAGCACAGACAACCCAGTAATTACAGCTTCAAAAAACAATTCTGATACTACTCCTGCTACTAACGTACCCCAACAAACATCTGGAGAATTGGGATTAAAAATCAACCTGATTTGGGAAACTGTGGCTGAATTGGATATTAGGGTTTATGGAATCCCTAAAAACAAGGCTTGGGTAAAGATTATCATTTTCATTTTAGTTTCAGCTTTTAAAATCTATTATTTAATATCTTTTTAACCTTTGATATTTTTAACCTAGAGTATGTGATCCATCTTAATTTATTGTTTGAAATATCAAGGGTCATTGGACTAGCTTCAAAGATAGTGGTTATAAAATCATGTTTGTGTCAAAGACACAATTCATTTGCCGTAAATTTCAAAATTTGATACAAATTTTACAAATTTTTTGTCAGGATGGAAGTTTTACTGGAATGTGTGTTACTGTGCATAAGACTCAAAACTGGGACAAAATTCCTGAACAGGTTCTCCACTTTTTAGTAGTATTATTAATATTATTTATATACTTTGCTTATCTGTCTGTCTGTTTGTATTCCATAAACAGCTGAACAATTCGGGCCCAAATTGGAAAGGACATGCCTATTGGAGAGGTTTTTCAATTGGCAGAACAAACTTTTACTGAAAAATTTATATTTTTCAAAATTCATGAAAAAAAACCTAATACATCAGCATTGTTTTTTCTTGTTAAATATTGTTTGATAATTTAAGGAAAGATAATATAGCAAATTAAAAGCTAAAATTTAAGATATAAATATAATGTGTATGTGTAGTGTTTGTCTCTCCATTTAAAGATTTTTGTACCCGAATGAGTATCCTAGTATGATCAATTTAGAGATTTGCGTTTTCCTTTTCTTCTTTCAATTTACTTTCTTTTAATCTCTAGAGTCCAGACCATTATAATATAGAAAATTGTACTTTGAAAACATTTGATCAAACATCCTGAGACAAAATGGCATATTACCATTCTAATTCCAAAATTGCTGTACTGTAAATAGATAAAAATAGTTTTATTTTTAGAATTTCTGTAAGAATGCTGTTCTGACCAAGTTTTCCAAAAAATATGATCGAGGAAGTTCCAATCCAGGTACTTTAAAATATTGTATTAAGGTTTCAAAATTCTGAAATCAACAATCAACAATTCAGTCAGTCCAACTTTGAAACAGCAGAACCAATAGGGCCTAATTTTATTGTTTGAAACTCATAAGATCCTGAAAAGGTTTACAGACAATTAAAAGAGAATTTTGCTTGTAAAAAGTGCTGATTTCTTTTGATTTTTGAAATCCATCAATGTTTACAGAAATTTTGCTAATTTTTGAGTTGTACATTAACGAAAAAATGGGCGCTTGAATTAAACATTTGGAGCACTTGTGTGGAAGAGGGACACAAAGCACCCTGAAAACCTAAAAGTAATAAAATGGTATATTTTATGTTTTTCCTTTTACAATATTAAAAAAAGAACCTAGAACTAATAGAATGTTGGGAAATCTGACAAGTTTTGTTACATCCAATGATCTTACAGAAGAAAGAAGAAGTTTGAACTGTATCCAACCTAATGCATCTACTTTCTTAAATTTGTGTTTTTTTAAAGAATATGATGGCGTTGAAACCATCGAACTAGCTAGAAACAATCAAAAAGAGTTGGAGAATTTGAACTATTTGATTACAGTAAATGATGACAGGTAAATATAGGTTTTTTTCTCCAATAGAACATGTGGAACATGTGGAAAGCTTCGAAATTAAGAAAAGAATAATTTCAAATGTTGAAGTTATAACCCGTTCGGATATAACACATACATCTGAGACTGAAATTAATGAATTTGAGCTAGGTTGCTGAAATAAACTTACTACTGATTCAAATACTTATCTCTAGTGCGTATTCATACAGGACAAATCCTGAATCAGCGATTCAAGATACATGGTTGGTCCGTCTCTAGAACTGTCTCAAATTCATTTTAATCTCGATATCAACAAGAGTTCACACCTCTGATTTAATAAATAAAGTAAGACTAAACTATATATATCTAGGTATTCCTACAACACCTACGGATACAAAGAACCAACAGACTTCTTGCAGGCTAAACCAGTGGTTCAAGTTTTAGGAATTTAACAAACATTTAAAGATTTTATGAAGTTTACAATTTATTAAAGGAAGTTTTAAAGAAAAATGAAAGGTGATTTTAATATTTTAATATTAGACTCATATAATTTTTTAAATTCTTTTATTGTTTTTTTTTTTTAGCCCCAAATATCACAATTTAAAAGTGTGTACGATTGAGATCCTATGACAACAAATTTCAGAATGAAAAGTGATTTAATCGTTTGTGGGAGAATAATTTCAATTTCACAACTTTTGGTAAATTCAAACTCTGAATCTCAGCGGATTTCGATCAATCAGGTCCATTCCTTGAGCATATTAAAGAGTCAAATTAAGCATCTTTAATGTTTTGTTTTACCAATTTTATAAATGTTTCTGTAAAAAGACCAAAATGAGCCCCTGGACTTTATCACACTAGATGAAAAATTGGGACCAGAATTGAAGAAAGATAAAAGGTAAAAAAAATTATTGTTAAACATTATAGAAAATTAAAAGCACGTTAGAACATTTTATAAATCTTTGAAGAATATATTTTACTTTTGATCTAAAAAGTGACTTTTAAGGGACTGTCTACGAAATTCCAAGTAATCGTCCATTTATAGAATGGAATTAAGATTTGCGATCCTTCAAACCATTGTATTTGGACATGCCACTCTATAAATGGAGGGGCACTTGAAATATCGTGTACAGTCCCTTTATCCTTCATAAAAATAATTTTAATTCTTATTTTTGATCAGTTTTTGGGCAGCATTTTGTTTAACATTTAACAATGGAGTAATAAATGTTAAAAAGATAAACAAGATAATTAGGTAAAAAATTCACTTTAAAAATAAATTTTTAATTTTAGAATGTTTTAATTTTTTTATCAAAAATGTTGTTCAGTGGGAAAGTTGACGAAAACTCTTATGACAAGTCTTACTGGAAAAAGTTGGCAAATGAATGTGATTAAATGTGGAGAAAATAATTATAAATTAGAACTAATTCTTAATTAATAATCAAATAAATCCAAATTTTCATTTTTGTGTTTTTTTTGGCAAATGATATGTATATCGACTCATCGAGTAATTGCTTTAAAAAAAAATCTTTTCTTCGCTATCTCTTGATCTATTTACAGGAGAATTTATATAAGAAATTGCTTATCGCAATATACACTCAATATAAGGTTTTACGAGATCAAAAATAACAAAATCAGCTCTGTTCTGACAAATATAAGGTAAGGACTTTTTGCCATATACATAGATTCTGTAAATTGGACAGTAATCGGCTTAGCAGTTTAATTTCTTTACTTGAATATGGACCTTTCAAATTGATTCGAAAAGAAACTTAAAGAAAATTGCGAATTATTAGGTGAATTAACGCCATAATTGAAGATTAGACGATTTATCTCTCTCTTTCAAACTTTTTATTGAAACAATAAAGGTACAGATCTGAGAAAATTGTGTAATAATGATAAAAAACACACGAATATTCATTTATATATATACATTCAAAAATGCTTCTCGCAAATTACTCTCTAATTTAAGGTATGAAATTTAAACTAGTAGAGACTTAGCAACTCTGAGACCTGGAATAAGATCTTACATGAAATGAAAAAGGACCTCTCTTTTTGAATATAATAGAAAATAGAAAATAGAAAAAGACTTCTCGTCTAGGGTAAAAAAAGACTTCTCGTCTAATATCATAGGAAGAGGTTAGAAAAGAAATAAGGAGTACGATAATATATCGAGGTTTACCAATTTATAATGTTTATATAGTTTATCAAATAAACCTTGAACCTGAACTGAACTTTGGTGGCTGGGGACATTAGATCTTGGCTTTAGTTGATCTATGAGCTAGAGCTTCATTCTTAGATCTAAAGCTGTCCTCGGTCATTCTATAGATCACTTTAAAATATGTCACTATAGATTTGCCCATCTTTAGCTTTAAGTATGGAGCTAGTAACTAAAACTGGATATCTGATTCCAATTTTGCATGAGTGAGGTGTCATGGTACAGGTGTAACAAGGATAATTCCCCCAGATGTCCAAAGGAGCATTGATCCGATAGTTCTTTGAGTTGTTATGAGTATGGCAGACTGGAGTAGGTTGGATATTCTGGCTGCCAGTGTACTCAGAGCATATTTCACAGTATCTTGATCGCTGTTGGTTTAAGTTTCTGATATCCATGTAACTATGATGCTTCCCGTTGATGTACATGGTTTCCTCTCCAGATCTTCGGTTTAGACTGATGGTTTTCATTTGCTTGGCGGCAGGTAGCTTGGATGAAAGTTTGTCTGAGTAAGCAGGATACAGAAGGGTTTTATATCCTGGGGGGAGGGGGGGAGGAGGAATGTGAGTATCAGGTAGGTTCAATGGATGGTTCTGGTTGCCTCTGCGGTCCGATTTATCTCAAGACTTATCGTCATGAATCTTGGGATGGATCCTGGAGTATCTTATGAAGATCAAGTTAATACTAGAGCCTTTCTTAATAATTTACATATCTGCTAAAAATTTTCAATCTAAATTATTATTATTTCAATATCTAATCGATCTATCTATCTATCTATCTATCTATCTATCTATCTATCTATATATCTATCTATCTATCTATCTATCTATCTATCTATCTATCTATCTATCTATCTATATATCTATCTATCTATCTATCTATCTATCTATCTATCTATCTATCTATCTATGTATCTGTCTATCTATCTATCTATCTATCTATCTATCTATCTATCTATCCCGTATTTCCTGCCGGTCACCACGTAACGTGGTCAACACCCACCCCCCTTTACCCCCCTCACCTCTCTCCATCCTCCTCCCGTGCCTCCCCTTCCCATCATTTTGACCACGCCCTTTTATAGCGACGAAAATTAATCTAATTCACCGCCCAGCCACACCTCCCCTCTCTTTCAACACCCCCCCCCCCTTACCCACAACATCAAGTATTCCATTAGTAGAAGTGGTGCAAGAAGCTTCTCAAGAAGTTATCAATTTCCCTACATTAAGCTGTTCAATTACACGTGCAGTACATTACTAATCGTTCAAATGGGGGATCCGAATTGTCTCTCCGTTCGGATTATCAACAGACTTATTCTTGCTCTTGTTCTTGTAATGGTTGTCGGACTAGTTATTGTTCTTGCCTCAACTCTTGTTCTAGCCACAGCGACTGCTGAACAGGTATAAACCTATATTACTGCGATGGGACTGTCGACGTCATAAAGTGTTGAATGTTTCTAACTTGTAAAGTGTTTGAATCTGACAATTTCTTCCATTGTTTCCGAAATATTCATCCGAAAAATGCTTCACGGAAGGACCAATTTTATAAAATGATAAAAAATAAATTGTGAAGAAAGGATGCTTTACATCATGACTTTTTTGTAGTCTAAAGAAAATTTATAAATTATGATTGAACGGGTATAAAAAGGCTATTTTATTTTCATTTAAGACCCTTAACTATACTCCAGAACCAGCCACTCGTCTCTTGTTAACCAGGTTTAACTTTAAAAACAAAGCTTATCTGTATATCTAAAGAGCTAAGTGAATACTTTCAAAAAAGTTTGTTTTAAAAACGTATCCACCCCCAGAGTAGGAGTTTTGAACGTCGAATTTATGCTCAAACTCAGGATTTACAGATCTTTAAAAAGTTAAATATGTCTCAAATGAATGCGAAAGAATTTTTCCATAACACTGTATACTCAGTTGAACTACCTTACATAGCCGGTCACTCCCTTTAATCCTGAAATTTCCAGAACACTCAGATTCATTCGTTTTTTCTTCAAAAATGCGTACTCAGGATAATCGTTTTATTTTTACTCCTCTGCAAATTGTGTGAGTTTTACACCCGGATCCCTTTTCTCATATTCTCGATTAAAGTTTTTGTATAAATCTTTAAACACAAATTTATTTTTTAAGAATGGAGACGAAATAGTTAGTTTGGGTCTGAAATCTGAAAATTGTACTGTACAGCAATTGTATAGAGAAGAAACAAATAAAGGTAATATATGATAGTACTGTACAGCAGTTGTACGGCGAGGAAAAAAGTTCAGTTAATATAGAATAGTACTGTACTGTACAGCAGTTGTAAAGAGAGGAAACAAGTACATCAACATTATTGTACTGTGCTGCAGTTGTACAGAGAGTAAACAAGTACATCAACAATATTGTACTGTGCTTCAGTTGTACAGAGAGGAAACAAGATTAAAATTAAAATCTTGCATGGGTTCAAACTCCTGCTGTGCTTCTTGAATCCTCATGTAACCAAACAAGGTTGAAATGAAAACTGTAGAAGTTAATTGAAAGTCCGCCAAGTCATACCAGTAATTACGTTTAAAGTTGTCCTTGTACTTTCTGTAATAAAAGTTATATTATAATTACTTATTGTTTAGGTGGTGTTAAGATGACTGATGACAGCAAAACCAACTGTAATTCCGGATTTAGGTTAGTTCAAATTATTTCTCATGATAAAGCCGACATGTTTCAGATTAAACAAAAATAGTGATTTTTTTTGGTTTGTGGAATGGAGGGGGGGGGGAGTTCTTGTAGAATCATGGCTAATCTTTTTAATTGAATTAAGATAATTAAAACCGTTTAATATTTATTAGGAGGGCTCGCATGGGCAGAAATACGAGAAAAAGAGATTTTCTGCTGAAATCCTTAAATGGCGGTTTGGATGGAAAAGAAAATGGACAATCAGATAAGAAACGAAAAAGACCGAAAAAGCAAAGAAGAAGGAGACTGCAGGGACGACGAAAATTACAAAATAGACGAAAAGTCACCGGCCGAAATGCACGAAAACGATTGGCAGTTGGGAGATTGCGAAAACTGTGGCTGGAGGGGGAATCTTATCGAAACTGGAAAAGGAAGAAGAGCACAGAGTTATTGTTGCAACAACCGGAGAGTCAAGTTGCCATTGCCCAGCTTTGGCAACAGCTAATTAGACAGGTGAAACAATGCGCAAAGTTATGGAATATTATTTTACATTTGCTAATATAACTATTTCTGGCTTGCTCCTGTTTAAAAAGTAGCATATAATAAGCTTCTTTTTAATTATGTTTTAGGTTTAAGAAAGTTACAGTTGTTAGGCCAAAAGAATGAGGTCTTTGCCGCACACTAAAATTTTCTACTCCTTACATCTTTGTAACCTATGATAATCTAAAATTAGGTTATTTGGTCTTACACAATTTATTTAAGTTTTTTATGCCTCAAAAAGTGTTATATCATTGATTGACCAATACCATTGCATATTTTCTCCAAAGAAACGTTTGTTATTGTTGATAACTTTGTACAGACTTTTTTCCCGGCAAGCGCAGAAATTGGAACACGCTGTAGCAATGTTGTACTCTCGGCGCACTCCAATGTACGGAAAATGTCGTCTCCTAAGATAGATAGATAAAAACCTTATATGACGTCACTGATTCTAGAGTCGAGAAAGACTTCATATAAGGTTTTTTTATCTATCTATCTTAGGAGACGACATTTTCCGTACATTGGAGGCATCGAGAGTAACCAATCTTTATCTAAAATGTTTTTTTTTCAGGGAGATCACTGGCAAGATGTTTATTCAGGGATGCATAATTCAAGCTTTCCATTCAGTTTAAGAGAAGAAATAACAAAACAAGATATTACAGGTTATTATTCTTCTTTTTAAGCATTAAGACGTTGTTACAAGTGACACCCCATTTATGGCATGTCTTAATGCTACTCTGTAATGGAACCCTTTTAAAAGAAAGCAGGAGATATCCATAATATTCTCTTTAAAAAAAGGATTTTGAATTATGGTTTCTCCATAAAAGTGACTTGCGCATTTCTGCTTCAGAAACAATGGTAAATAATGATAGAATAGAGGGTTTCCAAAAAAGACAAACAGTTCCTTGAAAGGAACTAATTGAATCCTCACAATTTTATGATTTTTATATCCTTGTAACCTTTTGTCGTAAAAATATGAATTTTCCTAATTTTTAAAAGTTTTTAGTTTTCACTTTCTGATTTGCTAAGATAACAAGATTAGAAAATTAGAGTTTAAAGCGAGAATATTAAGTAACCATTGAACTTGTTTTCCCATTTTAGGAGAATAAACAAAACGCTCAATGTTAACAAGATATTTTTTTATTTATTGGAAAAAAAATTTTAATTTAGTAATCTATAGTAAAAGTTTGATTTTTAAACAATATAATTGACGTTACGTGTTACAACAATTAATTACATGCACAATTTTAGAATTGAGTAAAGGAGATACAGCTACAACACATCATCTTCACCCGGAGCTCAGCAGATAGTGCCAACTTAACAAATTAGAATTTACAAATTTGATATGCATTATTAAATAGTGCAAAAATTGTTCAATTTAAATCAAAACATTAAAAACTCTTTACATTTATTAGCTAACAACTTTAACAGCTATAGCTTTGAAATCTAATGGTGTAAACTTGTAAACCCTAATTGTGTTATTTTAATCTTTTTCAAAACTTGTAGTTTTTAACTAAGATCATATTTGGCTTTTAACCTGTCTCCTAGACTTTAAAAACCCAAGAAAGATATCTTTATATGTACACATAAATATAGTATATGTACATATAAATATAGTATATGTACATATAAATATAGTATATGTACACATAATATAGTCTAAAAATTAACATTTGAAAAATTTGCTAAAAATATAATTTTTTCCAAGTCTTTATAATTGTTAGATATATTTAAATATGTACAAATAAATATTTGAATTTTTTTTTTAAAAATATGATTCTTTTCAAGTCTAATTATCATATCATTAAATATGCGTTAATAAATTTTCATACGATCAAAAAATATATGATTTGAAATAAAATTTAAAAATAATGATAAATTTATCTAACCTATCATGAACAATTTTTATGGACGATTAAGAAATATCATTTAAAGGAACTGTCGTCGCTGGTCGACGTATTTTTAAGTAAAATTCAATTCAAATCGATAACCTTCCGTGACCTAATTACAGAAAATACATTTGTAAACAATCAATTTTCAGACGAAAAAATAACGGGTTACTTTTTGCTAAGAAAAATTTCATTTTTTTTTAACAAATAGCCATTTTGTAAATTAAAAAACTTTATTAGTTTCAATCTGACAAGTATTCTGCTTTCTATTGGTGGCATTCCTGGTTATAGACAAAAGAGTATATCTTTAAAAATGTTGAAACTTAACCTCTGAATGGGTATTATCTGCAACAGGTAGCCGTTAGATGGCAGTCAAAAATCTTTCGTGGAAATGTAGCATGTTGTGCCGGGACAAATCTAGCCCTGCTTAGCCTATCCGGTCTGAGCTTAAAAGCAGTCTGTATCAATATCTTGTCTGACACCTTAGTTACAATCTTTGTTTTTGGTCCGTTTTTTTGTCGTCTATATTTTCTTTCAGTGTCAAAATTTGGCTTAGTTTAAGAAGTGCAATGCAAATGTTTTTTAAAATGTTTATTGGAAATATTTGCTTTTCTTACACTATGTCAAATTTGGACCCTGATAAAAGATATAAACAGAAAACGAACTTGTAACGATCGCTTTTGTATCGTTATTCTAATTTTTTTAGGATTAAGATATTGCATTGTTTAATAAAAGCAAACTTTAACATAATACAGTTTTGAAATCTTGGAAGTTAAATTTTTTTAAAACGATCCAAAACGTTCCAAAACGATTTCACGCAATTTACTATAGTCTGAAGTGCTAGATGTAGAGTATTGGTGTAAACTGCCCCAAAATCAAAATTTGGGTTATATGTCGATATATCCGTGCGTTATCTTTTCTTTATGTGTGTTTTCAATTGAAAAATATCAATTTATTTTGCAAAAACGTGCGTTCTTGCGCCGCGGAAAAACGCATGAAAATGACATTAGAAAAAAAATTGGATAATGTGTGTCATTTCCTTGCGCCTGTGCGTTTCCAGTCACATCTTTCAGCTTTGTTAAAAAGTTTGATTTCAATTGA